ATCCTCAGTAATATCTGTTTGTGGAAAATCGTGCATTTTATATGTGTGACATTTTCATTAGTTTCCTGTCAAGTTTCCATCACCTTGGAACTGAGGTTAACTGGGCCCTACTAGGCACCCCTCAAGTGCTGTCTAGGTTATTCCTCACATTCTAGATTCTGAGAAGCACGTAGGCATGGTGGAGAGAGCATGAATTTAAGATTCACTGACCCTCCTGGCCAGCTGTGAGGTCTGGGGCAGGTTTCTGAGCCTCTCTGAGCTTCTGTTCCCTTGCCTGTTATAATGGGGTTAATAATAACTCCCCTAAAGGGCTGTTGGAAAAGTTAAGTATGAGAAAGTCTTCGGCACATCATGAGTGTTCTACGAACATTAGATACTCTCTCCTGTGAAGTGTGTATTCCCAGAAATGTACTGAAAATTAAAACCCCAACAGAGAGGTTACAAACCATCTGTGGCCGTTTTAGAAAGAGGGGAGCTGGTCTTGGCAACGATAGTGCCATTTTCATCTTGATTAACAGCCAGCTGTGAGATCCATGGCACATCCAGGGAGAAGGGCTTCTTGAATAAGACTTTTGTTATATGTCAACCACTCAAATCTCAATAGCTGCAGGAGACAGCAGACTCAAATGATGCCAGACTCAGAGGGCCAGGAATACAGATGAGGGAATAACCAGCTGATGGCTCAGAGGTTTTTTGAAATAAGACTGAAATTTTTTTTTGAAATAAGATCTCTGTTCTTTGAAATAAGATTGTCCTGACATCAGCGAGTACTCAAGACAATCTTCCTTTTCTTAAGCTCTGATGATTTTTTTAATTTTAATTTTTCTGAGTGTCTGTGGCAGCTGCCACTCCTCAAAGCAATCTTCCATCCCATCTAAGTCCTCTTCGTTCCTGGTCCATCTGCACTCTGACCGTACTGCTCTGGCCGGGGACCACTATGGAGAAGGCGGTGCTTAAAAAGATCTAGATACTTCGAACTTTAACTTCTGGGAGGGGTAAAAACCAGTGAAGAAGAGCATACTTTTGCCAATACAATTTGAAGTAAGGTTTGGATTTTATTTACAGAAATTAATTTCCTTTTAAGTCATTCTTTAATTGAATACTTATTCAGAGTACAAAGTTCTTTGAAATACAAAGTATTTCAAAGCCTTCTTCTTTATGAATTATGCATACAACATAGCTACAGACACTGGATTATAACTGTATCTTTTTTTTACATCTTTTTTGTTTTTACTGTAAAAGCCACATAATACAAAAATTAACATATTAACCATTTTTAAGTGTACAGTTCAGTAGTGTTGAGTATATTCACATGGTTGTGACACAGATCTCTAGAACTTACCTTGCAAATCGAAAACTCTATATCTATTAAACAATTTCTTTCTCCCTTCCCTCATAACTATATTGTATGTGTGATAGAATATTTTCTCCTATTATATACAAGAAATCACAGGAAAAAAATAAAATTAATTTATAAAAGAATAAAATAATGAATTTTCCACATTTACACCCCATGTGTGTTTGGAAGCTAAGCTTCCTCTTCAAGACAGGTGATGTTTTCAAAAGCTTTTTGACTTTTTAAGTTGCTACAAATGGATCTGAAGGCTGTATTTTATTCATCTTAACCCTCTCCTCTCTGTACTTCTCACTCCATCCTCTTTAATGAATAACAGTTGTGTTCTCTTCCTTCTCTTTGTCAGGACCTACGCTCAAGAAACCGTATGAGCCAAGAATCAAAATCTCTAAAACGTCAGGTAAAGAAAAGGATGTGGTTGACTGTGTGAATTGAGAGTAAGGTATGTTTAGAAAAGTAGGGCCGGCCCGGTGGCGCACTGGATAGTGCGCCGCTTGGGAAGCGCGGCAGCGC